GGACTCACTAGGTCGATTTCGGCCCCGGCCGGGGAGCAGGCCGAGGGGAGGGTATCTCGGGGTGATTAGTGTACATTGGGGAAAATTTCCCCCTTTTCTTCTTTCAACGGGGGCACACTGTCTGGAATGTGAAAACANTACTGCCGCGGGAACAGTGTCCATACACGCCTCTCGCCACTACCACCGTCTGTGCATCCTCACCGCCACGCTGAGCCAGCGCGGCGGGGAGTTGCACCTTGGGACACCACCCGCCTACTATCTGTTGTGGCCTGGTTCGCCCGCGAGGGACTCACTAGGTCGATTTCGGCCCCGGCCGGGGAGCAGGCCGAGGGGAGGGTATCTCGGGGTGATTAGTGTACATTGGGGAAAATTTCCCCCTTTTCTTCTTTCAACGGGGGCACACTGTCTGGAATGTGAAAACATTTTGCCCCAAGAACAAGAGCGGCGCGATTACATCGCACTTTTCACAACACCACACCGCATCTCGTAGAAGCGAGAGGCAAAGCACCAAACGGCGGCGGCAGTGGGGCGGCCGATCGTCAGCCCAGGCTCGATCGTCATGTCTTCAGCAGGAACTGGATCACGAGGTCGCGGAAACTACGGAAGGGCCGACAGAGGCAGGTCGGATAGAAACAAAGCGCCCACACAGCAGCCGTTCCGGGCCTTATGTGTGGAGGGCATCAGATCGCGGGACACATGAGGATCTCATCGCAGTTAGTCTCGACCTGAATTCTTATGGATTTGAATACTTCTGCGCTCATTGCGATCAATTGGAGGAGAGGCTCGAGCGGCGAGTAAGTTACGATAGCCACGGCACAGTGGGCAACAGAGGCGTGAGTGGGAAAGAGCCGAGTTCAAGCCGTGGTAGCTCCCAGAATCCATACATGAGCTCACAAGTAGCAGCCGCAGCCGCAGCAGCAGCAGCAGAAGCATCCGCTGGAACTGGAGTCCCCCACGCAGCAGGAGCAGAAGTAGCAGCAACACTGTCGGGTGGCATATCTGGAGGTAGAGGGGCGGCGACGTCGGCGGCGGCGGGGGCGCCTAGGATTTTTTCATCATGTTGTAGTTCTGGTCAAGGTTCAGACTACACGGCAGATGGTTGCAGCTGGTGCCGGATCCTCAGCCGATGATTTACGTGACGTGGGCGCCGGTGACGCTTGCGGCGTGGGCGCCTCGTCGTCGGCAGCCAGTAGATATACGGAGGAAGAACCCATGGACGTAGATGAAGAGTGTGTCGACGGAGAAGAAGCGCCGGAGGAAGAGGCAAAGGAGGGAGATCGGGAGTTATGGATGAATGTCGAGTTACAAACTGCCATTGCGAAACAAGCGAGGATGGTCTTGGACACTCTCCCCAAGATAGCCGGCAACGGCACGCTGACTCCACCACAGTCGATGAAGGAGCGGCATCTGCCGCCCAAGTATGTAGCGGCAGCGTTTAATCGACTTTTCCCTGACGCCCCGACATGCCGGCCCGCAGACAGCCCGGAGAAGCGCGCCGCTGCGGCGATGAAAGCGGCACNGAAGGAGCGGCATCTGCCGCCCAAGTATGTAGCGGCAGCGTTTAATCGACTTTTCCCTGACGCCCCGACATGCCGGCCCGCAGACAGCCCGGAGAAGCGCGCCGCTGCGGCGATGAAAGCGGCACAAAGTGACACCAGCGATGAGTACCCGGGTCGAGAAGGGAGAGATCATGGATGTGCTTTTGAAGGAGCCGGTCATAGCCATTTTCGCGACGACACAAGTTGTGTTCGCTCTCTATGTGCACGAGGTGGTCTTCTTCGAAGAATTGGTCGGCATTCCAGCTATCCAGGCAAGTGCATGAATGAGCGAAGGAGCCGATGACGGTACTTGACCCTTTTGTCCTTTGTAAGATGTTGCGCGTGCGTGCCGAAGGTGCGTGCCGAAAGATAAAAAATAACACAAAAAGTCGTCGCACATTCAAATTGTTATTGTGACTAGTTTTCTGTTGATAATAGTGAATTTTGGTTGACACGGATTACAGTGTTGCGCACGCTCATGATCTATCGGCTCATGCCAATGTCGACGTTGTTGGTCGGTATGCCCCCCTCCCTTCCGCTGCGGCAAGCCCACAACTCTTGTTTGAAGTTTGCATGACGGGAACCTTCAGAAGTTCTGACAGAAAGTGCCGAACTCTGTTTTGTTGGTGGGAAGTTTTGCTCTTGATGAGACCTGCCGCCGCCGCACTCAAGAGTCTGTCAGTGACTAGCCCTCTCACCTCATACACGGGACACCGCCTGAACAGAAACGAGCATCGGAACAAGGCCTGACGTAAAGAGCCCTCTCCCCCTGTGTTGATTTCTTTTCAGGTGAC